TCCTCGCGCTTACAAAAGTGAATTATTAAAATATACCATATTATTATATGTTGGTCTCGAAATGACATAGCAAATGACCTAGTAAATGACCAAGAACTCTTCCTCTCTCTCTCTCTCTCTCTCTTTCTCTCTCGTTACCTCAACACAAGACATCCCTGTCAAAACACAAACACGAAAATGTCCTATATAAGAATGGAAAAGAGAGAAAATAGTAAAATATTGTTGATTTAGCGTCAAATGGTATCGGAAGGATTAGTAAACAGACGACATCTTGGATTAACATGTAATATTTCAACCGTCATAAAACTGACACACGCATTTTTCTATTAATCTCTTAATTTCCCATTGAATTTGATATCACCGATAGAATACGCGCATGGTGGCAAATAGCCAAAATACAAATTATAATATTTTTTCGTGTATTAAGATGTTTCCTATTAGACATATTAAACGATTTAAGCTCGGGATTCAGACATTCCATGTTAAAGTGGCGAAAAGACTGAAATGGAATAAAACTCGTCAAAACTAAGGCTGACTACACAATCTGATTAAAACACAGATCCTATTTCGTTTCGTTTTTTATAGTTCAAAATTTCTTTTTACTTGTCTTTACTACACTAGGATCTGGAATATATGTTATATTACCGGCGTTTTGGTTGAAGTGAGGGATAAGCCAATAAACAGTCTGTTAGTGTTACGGCGACTTCTTGGCGTGTCATGCACGGAACTCTGGGTAAACCACTAGAAACGCCAACACTGATTGGTTAATTATTGTCTGACGTCATAGGGTCAAAAGCCGCTCGTACGACCCCCGACACGACCATCGAGTAGGTCATCGAAAGTATAAAAAAAAAACGAAACAAATGTAGATCTGTATTTTAATCAGACTGATGTGGACAGTATTAATACCAAATAAATAGAAGACACTCGTTAATTATTTGCACATTGATCTATTTATAAATTATCGAGCAATCAAATTGATTATTAACCTAAATAGAGATTTTGGTCAAGGTATTGTTATCATCACAAACCACTGACAAATCAAACTGCTTATCTCTACACCAGAATATGTTCATCATCTACACCACAGTTTGTACATTCTACCGCAATTAGAAACAGATTGTTTTCCAAAAAGTGTGACGGACAGACGGATGGACATATTCTAGCTAACGCAGTTTTCTAAAAACATTGTCCAAATAATCTTTAGATCCATCCACTTGAAACCGAGACTCTTGTTAATTCCAAGAAATAACAACTTTTAACAACTGTCCCTGTATAACTTAAGGGCAGACCCCTATTAGGAAGTTAACATCAAAAGCGTCTTCTGTTGCTACTGTATAAACCGACAAAAGGGTTTTCTCAACTCTTGGTCAAAATAATATTCTCAAATTTACAGTGTTGGGTTTTTATTAAAGGGAATAAATAATTTACAGGTAAGATAATGTGGGTCATCTGCATGAAGAACAAAATCTGAAAGAAGAGTCGGGTAAAGAAAGATTGCCAGGCAATTTAGGAAACATACATGAAGTTCAATGGCGCCGACAAAAAAATATGTCTTGTTTACCATACACGCGGGGGGTTGGATGGCCGAATGCTGTATCATAAGGTCTGTCATTGAACCATATGTCAGTTCCGAAATTACATACCCTCTCTCTCTCCTAATCAATAACGTCCTACTTCTCTGCACTAAGGACGCCAGTTCAAGCTTAAAATAGCAGTAACTTAAATCTACATTATGTCAGAATTAGATAAAGAGCTAGTCGTTCTTGTTATAACAGTTCACAAATAGGAAATCAAAAATGAATACATTGAAAATTTCGGTCAAATTACTTTATTCGATGTTTTGAATATTTGGAATTTTGACAACAGATGGCCAGATGGAAACTACGTCCACGGTTCATATTCTCGATTGTCAAGTGACATTGGCATGATAATAAACACAGTCTCGATTGTCGATCTTTTTATCGAGCACCCAATATCTAAGCCATCTGAGAATTGCTTATGTGCTCGGCATGTCAATAGTGTCTAAATTTCTCTAAAGCTAGAGAAACGTCCCACAATAAACAAGTTTAGCTCTCGTGTAATGCCTCTTTAAATAATGTTTTTTCAGCACTCCAAACACGTGTTACATTTTATACTGTTTGGAAACTTTCTCATAAAATAACACAAAGACAAATAATGAAAATTGGACCAGAATATTACATGGGCACAAAGTCTGTCGACCCGTTCTATTATGAAGGCGAATACTATAAGGGAGATCCACAATCATGCATGGATGGCTCTTTGATTATTTTCCTCGTGTGGTAAATAAATGTTTTTTGATTTGACGTGATTTGTCTTTAGGATTTTCCATGTGGGTCCCACCACCCTCTCGTGCTTTTTAGATTCTCGTATATAAATAAACTGTGTTCCCAATATCGATATTGGTTTCATCTACCTTGATCATTTCAGCGTACCTCAATACAGGTGCGGATCCAGAGGGGAGGTTGGGGGGGGGGGGTCTACCGCGGGTTCACTAGTCCGCCGATATCTATTATTGTCATTTTTACGATTGATGATCATATGTAAATGCACACCCGTAACAAACTCTGACAACACAACCACCCTAACAATGAAACGTAACGCACCCACGCTGATAATGAAATTATGCACCCACCCTGACAATGACATAACCACCCACCTTGACAATGACATAATGCACCCACCCGTATATAACGCACCCCAACCTAAGAATGAAATATAACACACCCACACTGACAATGAAATATAAAGGAGCAACCCCGACCGACAATATGAAATGTCCAATTAAAACGTGGCTATATGTGGCTGGCAACAGCGACTTGGATAACTATTGGAACGCCGTCTCACATCTTGTACATCATTTATGAGTATGTTTGGCTGTAATTTCCTTGCAAGAGGAAATAATTTCCTACTACGGTTACACTTTCTTTCCACACCACGGACATTGCAAAGTGGTCATTTTTGATAACTGTATATAGTGTAAAATAACTTACACTTATCAATTATGTATAAATATGGACATCGCAATTCCAAAGTCTAAGACTAGACATGTTTTCCTTCCTGGAAAGATATGTGCGTCAAAAATGAAACTTGTACCTTTAAGATATAGGCACTGATCTGACGTTTTTGAATTTAGGTTTTATCATTCGTTGTATTGTGATTTGTGTGATATCTATCAATAAAAAATGTATGTCTTGCATTTTTCAAATCTTAGTAGTTGTTTCGATTGATTGATATCTTTTTATATTCGACATATCGTTCTAATGGTTTGTTATATTACAGTATCGTGGTGTTTAGAAATGGTTCCACTACTGATGTCTTCCGCCTTACTCCAGCCACAGTAGTGGCTCGTCCTACGTACGGAGTTCCTTTGCGCAAGTTTTTTTTTAGTGAAATGACTACAAAAAGGTTACTGGCCTATAAATCCCTTAATTTACACATAAACTGACCCAAAACTGTACTGCACATAGCGTAACACATAATAAACCAATTCTCATTGAAGTAAAGGTGAAGCCTTACCGCATAATGATATGAAACCCAACTGCTACGCGAAATTTCTCGCCTGCCGAACTTATTTCAACTGGCTGGTGTCACGGCGGCTTTCGCATTATAAGAAACATGGCTTTGAAAATGTAGAACGCATTACCACAAAGAACAAAGAAAAACTGTTCGGTAACTATTTTAGTGGTCCAGTCTTCACTATTTTTGATAGAAGTACTTATTTCAATACAAACGGTAATCGATATGTGTTGACAATTGTCCGTTTGAACCTATTTGAACTTGCGTAAGGAGTCTTAGATTGTATCACTTGTAGCGTTAAACACAGTTTAACGATATATTTAATTGTAGCTACGTGGTGTTGTGCTCATATAAAATGTTCTGAAACCTTCAGGAGGTCATGAGGTCGTTGGTTCTTTTGATAACCATGTAACAATATTTTGACTCTTGACTTCCCTGTCTGAGCTTGACAAAACATGGCGTAAAACCTTCAGTACGGCCTGCTGTTTTTTTGGGGGGTTTTTTTGCATTCTGAACATCAGAAACCCGCAAATTTTCATACGTTTGTTACGTACGTTTTTTTTTTGATACCCACCAGCGGATTAGTGCGCCCTAGGACTAGTAGACCCCTCTCGAAATTTTCACATGTGTTTGTCCCCGCCAAATGTGTCGCCCTGCAGCCCCTTTCACAGGCTTCTTCATAATATATTTATCATTTATTTAATTTTACTTTTAAATAGACGCAACCAATAGAATTCCATTTTCTGCGAACTAAAACTGGATGAAACAAAATTATTTCATTTTACTGTCCTTTAGGAGAGAGAGAGAGAGAGAGAAAAAAAAAACACACACGTTCACGTTTTTAAAATTTACACCAAAAGTCAACTCGACCTGCAGATTTAACAATTATTCATGTCGGTTAGAGCAATTTAAGATCCCGATTGATAGTATTGCATAAATTGATTCTATCTGTTAAACGTGGTACTGAAATGGTGATCGATAAAATCATCAATCAATGTTTACACAAATAAATATAAATGTTTACACAATTAAATAATGAATTACATGTGGTAAATATAAATCAACTTGCACCCAAATATATAACAGAAACGGTTCAGATATAGGCAGGGGGCGTGGGCTCCGTGAATAAGATGCTAGCTTGTTCACCAGGTCTCAGGTTCGCTCCTGGTGTTGGCCAAGAAAGTTCCTCGGGGTTTTCCGGCAAAATTTCCCATATATATAATACTGCATGACGTAACTCATCCGCGGTTTCCATGTGTAGAAAGGAACGATACCACTGGGAATACCGAGGATGGGCAGAAGTAAGCCTGTCTTCATTACCCCAGTTGGTGCAGAAAAGTAGCAAGTTAAACCTCTTTTCAAATAGACATGTGATGACATTTTCATGTTAATCGTCAGTAATTTTATACAGTGCTGTTTTACTTCAATTTTCTTTTTACACAATACTAAAAAAATACATATATATTCTAATGATTTATTTCAACTTAACATCTGTATTACAATAAAGCCTCAAACCAACAGCATACCAGTACATGTATAGGTACTTTACCTTGGTCCCATTAAATATAATAACCATGCCTATAACCAGTATATGTTTTAATGAAAACATGTATTTTATTTGAATAAAAAATCTTGACACATAAAGAAATACTTGTGCTAAATGTTCTGATTCATTGATTATTTCCATACTTTCAATTTCCACAAGATAAACTTTTGAAATTGGGCCGGTTTTCACCACCTTTATCCCAACCAGTTCTATTATTATATCAATGGAAATCATTCATCCATCTCTATCCTGTTGAAGATGCCAACTTTATTTGGCATTGGGCTTGGTCATACAGCATTTACTGTAATTCAAGTTACTTTAATTGAGCATTTAATGAACACAACTGCATGTACTAATTATCATTCCAGTAAGTCTTTATAACACATTATAAAAAATACCAATGTACATTTTGGTTTTTAATCAATATGGTTTTTGAAAAACATTTAAACTTTTGACAAATAATACTGGGCACAAAAATTTTAATTAATTCTTAATATAACAACACCAGGATATAACAGGTTTCTTTTATTTCAACAGGTTTTTAACTTGGTTTGTTAATACATGCACAGTGCTTTAAAATAAAATATAAACTATTTGCAACATACAGACCCCCCATCCCCACTTGTTTCTCTCCACGTTTCAACATGAATTGTTCATATAACAGAACCAATCTTTAATTAGAATGTCAAACTAATAACGGATTTAATTAAATATAGAAAAAATATCTGTAATAAAGAAAAATATCAGAAATCTTATCATGGAGGCAACTTATTTTCACATAAAAATTTGAGATCAATTATAAAGATCTGGCCACGGTTCCACAAAACATTCTCAGAAACTATGTGCAATGTTTTGGGTTCCTCATAAACAGTGATTGAAAGTTGAGTAAATTCTTAAGTCTGGGAATGCTTTGTGAAACAAGGTCAGGTATTTTCTGAAACTACAATTTAATACGACAGAAAAATAACATTCTTGTCCATATAACTGTACCTTGTGTTTGAGTAAAAACAATTTTGAAGTGACTTCAGTAAAGTTTAAAGTATATTCCTGTATTTTTTTTTGTTTTTATTTAATATCAATTCTAAAAATATGACTTATTTACCATGTATATCACTCACAAAATATTCTTTAGCTATCTCTTCTCTTCACACACTATTCAAATTTATATTCTTTTATACATAAATTCTTATATACATATATTAACAATTTAACAGTTTATTTACATTTAGGATCTATTTTAAACTGGATACCATATACATTTTGTTCAAGGAAAAAATTTAAAATAAAAAAGGCAATTAAAACGTGTTCTATGAATTTGAATCCTAACACCAAGCTCTTAAAGTAAGATAGCTATCTAATCAACAATTCTAATACATAAATTTTGTTCACAAGAAAACTATAGAATGGTAGACCACGAATATTTACAATTTTATCATAGTAAATCCAAATATTATAGGTATCGCCAGATTTCACTTTTACTCCTTTTTAAAATGTTAGGGTTATAAGCATAAAATGATATTTTGCCTGGAATGTGGAGGTTAAGATATGAACAATAATTACGACCAATCAACCAGCTAGCAAACTATAAATTATTGTAGTGGACCAGACTCTTTATTGGGCAAAGTCTCATGGAGCCTATCACGAGTCGGATGAAATGAGACTAGGTTTTTACTAGTAATGTTGGGTAACTAGTTCTAATTTGAACATACCTACCAACAATTAACCATTTGAGTATTATAATTAACATCATATCTTTATATCCTTTGGGTATAATATCATTTTAAACTATAAATCAAAGGCATGACTATACAGATTATTTTGTGTGACAAGGTACAACTAATCACAGTTGTCTATTAGTTGTGTGACTCAATTTTTGACAATTGAGTTCTCAGTCTTTTGTGTCAGTAATGACAAATACCTTTGAACACCAGTCATTACTGTAGAATTATAACGCAACAAGATTTGGCACAACATAAGGAAGTTCCCCCCCATTTGTCTTTAATATGCCCCAGGTATCTAAATATCACATTACAGACAATGACAAGGACTGAAAACTGTTTTAGTGACACTAAAATGAAATCATTAAGAAATGATTACCAAGGGAGGTAAATCTAATAATGGAATAGTCATAGAATTTAACAAATTTCCACAGAATGGAATGGATTAGAGTTCAGTGTTTTGATCAAAACAGACAAGTACAATTTATGTAGTACATTAGTAAATAAAGAAGTTATATACTACGATATCCATTCTCTTTCTGTCATAAAATATATTCAAACATATAAATCAATGTCAAGGTTCCGTCTAATATAAATAATCAAGTGTACCAAAGTTAAATATAATAAAGACATCCTAATTTGATCCTCGTTTTTGAGCAGCATATTAGTATTTGAAGAGTAATATTACATAATACACAATATAAAATCATTCACTACCATGACTTTCTTCTAAAGCATGATAAACACCATGTCACTTTAAAAATACCCAAGACATAATGATGAAATTCTATATCAAAGGTTTTAAAACAATATTTCATTTGTTTTTTACAAATATATACTGATACTACTTAAATAAACTTGGGTGGTATTTATCGGGTTTCGGAATAGAGTTCTTCAAAGGGTTTATCAGTCATGGGTTTTTTCTTGGCATCAAGTAGATATTTTTAGTCTAATATTGACAATCAAAATATATGGAATAATTTTTACTAATTTTCAAACGACACCAGCATCTTTGACATTAGCTTTCTTAGAATAAATAGTCTCCCAATCACGAACCTGACAACCACAAAGAAAGTAATACATATTCTTGCACAGTCCCTCATCAAATGGGTTATATTCATCGTCCAAATACTTCAGGTATGTAATTCTTTCACGAGAAGCGGCCTCCCAAGTTGTCATACCCTTAATCATGAGGTAACTATGGAAAAACAGTAAACCCAACACAACAAAACCACCAAAAAATAAAATCAGGATATCAAAGAAGAAAATAAAATTGCTGTTCAACCAGTCAGACCATTTATCATCATGGGTAATACCCTTCCTGAAAAACATTAAATACAAATACCGGTACTTATATACTGTAAAATTAAAAGAACATGCTTAGTTATTTTTATAAGAAACCATATTCATTGATTTTTATTCATTCATGTTTTTTCCCTGATTTTGTAGAACAGAATCACTACTCAATTAAACGCAACAAATATGTTTCAGCTGTCATGCTTAGTTGCGATATTTTCTTATGCAGTCGGCACATGTGCTGTAGCTCGAAATCCATTGTCACCACTCTTTGGGATTGAGAGAATTCAATTCCGGAATGTTCAATCAAGTTTCCCCATTTACTCAACAGTTATAAATCAGGTGCAATAACTTTGGAAGACCTTTTATGAAAACATTCAAACTTGATAAGAATCATCTGTAGCTAAAAACTAACTATTAATGAAAAGTACAGAAATGTCTACTAACATTTACTTTATAATCATATTTTTCTATTTAGGTTTGAGCAGCTCACCGCGTTGTAATGTAACAGTGATGTTATTTAATCATGTTTTTTGATTATCTTTTGGTACAATAGTCACATTTTAGACAACACTGAACTGACCTTGGAATACAAGGATAAACTGTCTTATTCAATGTACACTCAAAGCCATTAAATGTACATAACAATTGACAAAATCGAAATAATAAGCATCTGTGGATAATTTCATGAAAGAATTCACTACAAATGCACAAAACTGAAACATCAGAGAACCATGAAACAAAGCCAGGGCCAGCTGAAGTCAATATCGGGTATGTCCACCCTGAGCTCTTACACATGCCTGAAGTCGCCTTGGCATGGATTGGCACAGATGTCTTACTACACGCTGTGGGATTGTTTGCCAATAATTTTGGAGTGCCTGTGCCAACTCTGCAACAGTTTGTGGTGGCACGGCTTGAGTTGCAACCCGTCGTCCAAGTTCATTCCTTTCCAGCACGTAGTTAAGAGCAAAGTGTTCATGTCAACGTCGGTAGATACGGTGACGTCCATCAGGAAAGATGACATTTTGCCATGGTGTGTTGCTTACTGGCAAGTCGATGACGATGCAAAAGGATTTGACCTTGGTAAAGTTGACGGCAGTGTAACCCAAGAGCAGCCAGACGCCTTCGGACTGTTTGAGGGCTGATCTGACGTTGCCGTGTTCCAACAGTTCCCTGGCATTAGCAGTAGCTGACTGGAACCTGTTGCGCATATGCTGTAGTCGGATGTGGCGATCTTGAGCAGCAGTTGTTACAGGTGGCGCTCCAGGTCGGGGTCGACTGGCAACTCTTTCAGTGGCGTGGAAGCGTTGTCTGAGGCGAGCAATGGTCGATAGGTGGACATTAAAGTGTCTGACGATGGCTACCTGTGAAGCCCCCTGATCCAGCATGCCAATAGCTCTCTTCCTGTTTTCTTGTGTAAGGCGTGGCATTTTTCCGAAGTGATGAATGTTGATCTTTATTTAAAGGGCCAGAGTGCAGTGAATGCACTTTCAAAACGTGTGACATGGGACTGCTTAAAATTTGCACGAACAAAGTTCATTAACGAGAACTGATATTGGGTTCAAACCCAGAACTCCACAAAAAGAGACCATCACAAGTTTCACCTATGTGCCATAAGATAGGAAAGCCCAAGAAAACGTTTACCAGAAATATTTCACGAATTAGGCATTGCATTTTTAATGGCTTTGAGTATATCAAGGATATGATACCCAGTCATTCTACGATCAAACTGTTTAATCACACATCTCTTCCTTTATACAAATGATCTAAAAGAATTACTCAAACTTTTTCTATTCTTAGTTTTGTGAAAGTAAAACAAATGTAAGACATATCTTACCAAGTAATATAGAGAGTCCAGAAGACAAGCGTTGTTGTTGTAAGAAGGAAGAGAAGAAAGTATTTATGATTCCGTTCACCAACACATGCTTCTAACCACGGACAATGATGATCATATTTACGTACACATCGCTTACAGTCTTCACAATGCTTAGCTCTCATTGGTTGCTGAATGAAAACAAAAGAGTTATAAACAAGCCAACAGTGAGGCTGATGTCCCCCGCCGAAATCCCAAAATAAATAGATGACACATATTACACTGTAACCTAGGTATCAATTAATCTTGTATATCTGGCACTTATTTCATTCACATATGTTTAATATCAAATTTTTGTTTAAAAATTCGAAAAACCGTTTAAAATCACCATAAATCATCTAATTTGTACTTGTGTCCAGTTTAAAGCTGACCATTCAATTTTGATATATCTTGCTCATGTGTCCAATAATAATACTGATATTATTCGACTCAAAAGACAAATGTAACAGATCAAACTGCCCTTGTAATATAAATACACTAGTGTACATCGTGGCATCGAGTAGCACTCTGAAGCATCGTGAATACTACTTTTTGTACATGTTGGAATAAAGTTCTACTATTTTTCGTGAGACAAAAAAAAAAACTGTTTTTGTATAAAATTAAAGAACTACCTGAATTTCACAGAAATCACATCTTCTATATTTATACTGCTGATCTGAATGTTTATCTGTGTTTTGGCATTCTAACATAGTACAATTCTCATCATCTTCATCATCATCAGAATTATTATTAATTGTAGCCTTCTGTAAATATAGAAAAGGATGTTTGCCAAGCAACGAAACATATGCCCACCGCAGCCAACAAGGATTGCCTCATATTTTTTCTTTTCTTGGTAATGAAAACATTTACAGCACACTAAAATCTGATTAAGTCTATCAGAGGTAAATTTTCGTTTCTTGAGCATCTACAAGATTTTTTGAAGTGAACACAATAATTCTGGCAATAACTACCAGAAATTTTTGAAAACCAACAAAACAAAACAAAAAATCTGAAAATTCTAGACTGAAGAAAACGATAACAGAATTATTATTACTTTGTCCATCATTATGGCAGTATCAAATCAATAGAAGCCAATGTATAATGTAAATGGTCATACCTTAAACTACAATTGTTTGATTTGAACTGAAGTAATTATTAACCATAATTTTTGTTAATAACGATATCTTCGATTGTGTACGGTATTACACGCTATATTTAACCTTTATTTTGGGATGTTGGGGAATAAAGCTTACCTTCTGTTTAAGAGGAATAAACCCTGGATCAATAAAACAAGCTGTATAGTACATGGTTAGAGATAATAACAAGACAAATATATATCCTATACCATAAAATATATTATCCATTTCTACCAATGCTCGTCGCAAAACTGAAAGAAAAATTTAAATAAACAAATATTTAATAATTATAAAGAATTTTTATATAAAAATTGAATTCACCTTTTTAAATAGAATACAGGGGTATTTTTATTATATTGATTAATGTTTCATCAATACAAAAGATGTAAAGGCACTGATCACCATCAAACTCCTACTTGCTACGGGGGGTAGATGGCCGAATGGTTAGTACGTGCGTGCTGTATCATAAGGTCTGTCATTAGTCAACTGGCTTGCCTTCGATTCCCCGGTTGTACGTGACAAGGAGTAGGGTTGTCTGTATAAACCTTGTGGGTTTTCTCCGGTTCCTACGGTTTCCTCCCACTGCTAAAGACCCATACGCGCAAGCAAATTATTGAAATAAAACTGAACCATGTGTTAGTCCCAAAATGACCTAGTTTGTGTTGAGTGGGTGTTAAACCCCATTTTTCTCTCTCTCTACTTGCCCCAAGGACTAGTTAGTAATCACTCACTCCCCTAAAGGATTAAATCCATGGAAAAACAATATAACATCCAACATCCTACGTCACAGCAATATTCACACTTCAATAAAGTGGTCAGAAAGGAGTGATGTCGGTTACAGCCAGTCTCATGTCATCCTCAGTATCCCCAGTGATCTCATTCGGTTCTAACTCCACTAACTCCTGGGTTAATCTATAGGGGAGACACGTTTTCAAGTTATCCGCCTTTGATGATTGTGCTATTTTTATCGACTAATCCCATAAATCGTTAATTGCAAAGGAAGTTGGCAAAGGGAAGTTGAAGAGACAACGTTAGGAATTAGCCAGAAGGTTGCCTATTATACTAATTTATTAACAACAAATTACAATTATTATATAATATATTAATGAAGACCAGAAGTTTATATATACTATTCAAAAAAAGTAGGGGATATTTGATTTTGGGGGCATAATACTAAAATATGCAAATGACTACGAAAAAAGTCACTATAGAACCTAACAGAAGAAACATTTCCAGTTACATGTGACGCCCAAACGCACCAATAGCTACCGCATGGAATGCAGGTGATGCTTGGGATCATCATGGGGGTCCAACCCAAGATTTGCACGACTCTGACTTTGAATGTTACAGTCATTGTGGCATTGAATTCCAGGGTGGAAACATCAGTTTAATTGTTTTAGTGACCAGAAAACAAATTTTGATATGCGTCGGCTTACCCAAAATGAAAGGTTACGTGCCCTTGGCATGCTACAGATCGGCACAACACAGGCGGTTGTGGCGCGGACGATGAATGTTTCTCAGTCTGTCATAAGCAGGCTATGGTCCAGATACCGTGATACACAATCTGTACAGGACAGACCACGCTCAGGTCGACCAAGGGCGACAACTCAAGCCCAGGATCGATTTATCCGTACCTTGGCCTTGAGAAATCGTGTCATCACAGCAAATCAGATCAGCGCTCGTCTTCAAACAGACACTGGTGTGAGAGTGAGTGGCCAGACGATTCGGAATCGACTGCATAGGGGTCACCTTCGCGCCCGACGTCCTCGCGTGATCCCTTGTTTGAGAGATCATCACATTCAGGCAAGACGTCGTTGGTGTAGGGATCGTCAACACTGGGATAATCGACGCTGGAGCAATGTGATGTTTTCAGATGAGTCAAGGTTCACTGTTGATTTTTTGGACAGACGTAGGAGGGTGTGGCGTCGTCGAAACGAGCGCTTCCAAGACGTTAACGTCATCAGACATGATCGATTTGGGGGTGGTTCTGTTATGGTGTGGGGAGGCATCACTGTTGCTGGAAGAACGGCTTTACATGTTGTTGCAGGGCGTGTTACAGGCCAGTACTACCGGGACAACATCTTGGCAGTCCATGTTGTGCCGTTCGCACGACGTCATGGCCGCCGTTTCATCTTCCAGGATGACAACGCAAGATGTCACTGGGCCAGGATCGTTACAGGTTACCTCCAACAACAGAACATCACCACATTACCTTGGCCAGCACTGAGTCCCAACCTCTCCCCCATCGAGCATGTCTGGGACATGTTTGGACAGAGGTTATGTCAACGTCAACAACGTCCTGCCAATGTCCAAGAACTTGCTGCTGCGTTGCAACAGGAATTGGACAATCTGGACCAAAATGACCTTAGACGTCTCATTAGGAGTATGCCACGTCGGATCAATGCTTGTTTGGCAAACAGAGGAGGATTTACCCGTTACTGACTTGGTTGTGATGCTGTGGTAACTTTGCTGTTTGACCCCGGGTATCATTTTACCCTTATAATGGTCAGTCTGTGCCTTACTTAGTCTAACGATCATTTGGAATAAATCGATGAATGTGAACTTCATTTCATTTTGTCATTTGTTTCTTCGTCAGTTTCATTAGGTGACTTTAATAACACTTAAAAATCAAATATCCCCTACTTTTTTTGAATAGTATATTATGTAGATTCAAGAGTTTTATTGAGAACCAAATTGACAAGTATAATTTCAATAATAACAAGATGACTAGTCATCACCATCACGCGCCCTTGAACTTGTTTGGAAGGCATAAGGAAAAACAACTTCTTGGAATATCAATGGATTATTTCAAAATCTGCAAGTAAGTCATGTGACTTGGACCCGATACCCACATGGTTATTAAAACTTTGCTCATCTGCCGTCTATCCTGTTGTTACACATATTGTGAATCGCTCACTAGAAGATGGGGATGTTTCCGCATCCCTTAAGAATGCTCTTGTCAGACTCTTACTAAAAAAGGCAACTCTTGACCCAGAGAACTTAACAAACTACCGCCCTGTCCCCAACCTGTCATTTCTATCGAAAGACATAGAGAGGGTGGTCGCTGCAAGGTTCAAGTCTCACATTGAAATCAACAAACTTGATGAACCATTTCGATCGGCTTACAAGAAATGCCACAGCACGGAAACTGCACTCATACGAGTACACAATGACATTGTCAAAGGAATGGACAACAATGACTGTGTGTTTCTGGTACTACTAGATCTCAGTGCAGCCTTCGACACAATTGACATTTCGATACTCTTGCACCGTCTTAAACATCGTTTTGGCATTTATGGATCTGCTCTGTCTTGGTTTTCGTCCTATTTGGAATGTCGCAAACAGATGGTAGTTATTGGTGATTGCAAATCTGACCCACAGACATTCAAATATGGTGTCCCACAAGGCTCTGTCCTTGGACCCTTACTTTTTACGGCATACACTTCACCTCTGGGTGACATCATTCGGCAGCATGGAATAAGTTATCATTTGTACGCTGATGACACTCAGCTCTACATTGCACTGAACGGTTCCAATGAAGAACAAAATATTATTAAACTTGAAAAATGTATCGCAGAAATAAGATTGTGGATGAAACAAAATCTGTTAAAGTTGAATGATAATAAAACTGAAGTTATTCGTCTTTCAAAACGTAAAAGTGTTCTGAATATAAACTGTGATTCCGTGAAAATTAGAGACTCAATTGTTGGACCGACACCCAGTGTTCGCAACCTTGGAGTCATGTTCGACTCATCATTAAATATGCAGTCTCATATTTTGTCAGTATGTAAATTGTAAAGCCTGTAATTTCAACCTATATAAGATCGGTAGAATTCGACCATATCTGAATGTTGAAACTTGTAAAATGCTAGTTAATTCTCTTATAACCTCACGTTTAGATTATTGTAACTCTCTATTAGTTGGCCTTCCTGCTACAACACTATACCCTTTAAAACTTATACAAAATAAAGCAGCAAGAATTGTGTCGTTAACCCCATCACGCTACCCTATTACCCCAGTTCTAAAGCAGCTTCACTGGCTCCCTATTCCCTTTAGATTTATTTTAAAGTTCTCTGTCTCACTTATTTATCTTTACATTGTCCAGGATCGCCAATCTATCTCCATGATATGTTATCAAAGTACGAACCCTCACGCCAACTACGTTTAGTAAACCAACATCTCCTCAACATTCCAAAATCCAAATCTCTTTTTAGTGAACGTTCTTTCTCAGTGGCAGCTCCTAAACGTTGGAATGACATGTCCATCACCACAAAAACTAGCCCAACTTTCAGTATTTTTAAAAAGAATCTTAAAACAGAGTTATTTATTACTTAGCTCTTAACATGTTTTAGTCTGTTTGAAATATATTTTTTGATATACTTTTACATGTCCTGATATACTTTTACATGTCTTTTATATGTTTTATAAGTTTACTGAAATACTTTTACTTGTCTTTTATGGTATCTTATAAGTTTACTAATATATTTTTATATGTCTATTATATGTTGTAAAAGCGCCATAGAGCAGCTTTTTCCAGCTGGATTCTGGCGCTATATAAGTTTAATAAATTATTATTATTATTATTATAGTCAGAAGATTCAAACTCTGATCATAGTAGCTTGGCAAGGCACAGTCGCTACTCCCTGTAAGGTTTCCACAACAACCTTTGCCTACCTCAATCAGCTGCTGTATGTTAAACATTAAGCTTATACATCAGAAAATAAAATACTTTAATAGTTCGATGTTTGTATTTTTTTTTTAAAAGATTTCTCTGAACAGATAAGGTCATCAAAAAATAAAATAATAAGTTGATGAATGTAAAAGTGTTATAAAGGTACCTTGAACAGTTTCTGAGACATGCTCTAGAGAATAATAATTATATACCAAAAAATAATTCAAATGTGTAGTAAAAATCATTCAACAGAGAATTTTTTTTCCATGGCAACACAAAAATTATTAAATCCGACAAATTTCTAATTAGCAAAAGGCACAACTACTGTAATAGGATGATGTGTGTTCAAAGTTTCAAAAAGATATTTTGAACGATTTATGCGAAATCCATGGAAACACAAAACTGATTAAATCCCAGAAATTCCAAATTAGCAAAAGGCACAACTAATATAATAGGTCAAAATTTGTAGTAAGTTTCATGAAGATTACTTGAATGGTTTATGAGATATGCTCTGTAAACAAATTTGAACACCAAAAATAAGTCAAATTTGTTTGCATGGAATCACGAAAATCCCAGAAAATCCTAAATAGTATACAACTATCACTGACTGATGTTTGTACAAGTCAAACTTGTTTCCATGGAAACACAAAAAGTATAAATCCCAGAAATTCCTAAATAGCAAAAGGCACAACTAGTGTAATAGGTTGATGTGTGTACAAAGTTTCAGAAAGATATCTTGAACGGTTTATGAGATATGCTCCGGAAACTAAATCGTGACAGACGGACGGACCCCATTTCACTATCCCTCCCTAACTTCGTTCGGTGTGGGATAATAAACATAACAGGTTACAGAATGAAATATTTTAGACAAAGAAACGAATAGTAATAATAATAACAAAAGTCAACTATATAGATGTTATACATATTTGAAATCGGCGAAACATACTACAGATTTTGATAATACAATTAAATATAAATGAATTAGAAATATATACATTATTTACATAAATCATTCAGTAATTGGACATGAATATGGTTATCTACCCTTATAAAAAAAACGAACACAAAATCACTGGTTTGTAAACTTTTTTTGATTGGCTCGTAGACTTTAGCTACACTTAAGGCCAAAGCAGATAATTTGAAATCGTGGAAACCCCCCTATGGATTAACCCAGGGTGTAGTGGAGTAGAACGGAATGAGACCACTAGGGATGGTCTCATGTATTAGAGCAGGTTATCCAGTCTAATCCAATCAGCTGTTCTAATTGTGGAAATTCAACACTGATGTCATGGATAGATATTTGTCTTGTGTCTAAATGGTAAATGACAAGTGCATAGATATTTCATTGTCTCAAGAAAAAGTTTGTCTCTGTCTTGATCTCTTAGATATTGATAGTACTAGCATAATCCAGACTAGCTGCATGCACTGACCTAAAAATAATCGTATCTTACAGAAAACTATATATTATTAATGTTTCACAATATATGATTATTTACTTACTAGTGTCCTTGAATAAGAGAGAAGTTGGCACACCAACACATAACAGTGTGTGAAATATACGAACAAAAATGTTCGCACCACACTTGCATTTACGACAAAACATATTGATGATGTTAATGATTAAATCAGTATGTTATTAGAAGACACTGTCCAGAAGTTCTTGAAGGCCGGTCCTGAAAGACACAAAAAAATGAGAATGATGTTACCTTGTGCTTCAAGTATACTTTGTAGTATTTTAAAATAAACCAGTTTATAATTATCAAGAAATAAATCTTTCTTAAACAGAATAATAAATGTAACCAAAATGAGAATTTATTTTTATATATACGCTACTGATGTATCAGGAATATAACCTAAATTTATGATTAGCAAAAACTGACTATTGAAATTTAATAAAAGACCAACACTTGAAAAAAAACACTAAATACAGACTTTCAGGCTGTAAACAAATAAAAGGCTGTATTACAGAAAAATATTTGGCTAAATTTTTTTAGTAAAATTGATCAATACTATGAGTGTAAAATATTGCAATCTAAATTTCACATTACTTTCTATGGGGATGCTCAATTGTCAACCCGGAACGTCCTGGTTTAACAGAAATGCAATCAAGTGATGCAGAATTTAGTGCTGTCCCAGTTCTGTTAGTTCCGACAAGGGAGGAGGTGTGAGTAGAATTTTGGCCAGCGTAATTACATGTAAGCACAATGCATCTATTTCAGTTGTCCTGAGAAAATTTCTTATGCACTCCACTCATGCGTTGTAGCCCGAAGTCTCCAATTTCGCTAGATTGTCACTATTTTTAGGATTGGGATAATTCAATGCCAGAACGTTCAATCGAATATACCCTTTTATTTTTATACCACCATCTTTATTATTCAGTAATCGTCTGTTAACTTATTTTGTATCTTTACTAAATTTAAATACCAATGCAGAAAAGGTTTAATGACAATGGCATCTATAATATATAGACGTACAACTGTACGGATTTGGTTTATGCAACTAAGTGAGACAACAACAATTCATAAAATTACCCAATTTGAAACACTTTATCATAAACTCATTTGCCTTTAAATATCTCTTGTCTTGTCTAGCAGAAAGACAATAACATTATTGAAAAGAAGATAAATAATGACATGTCACATGACATGCACATCAGCCTTAGGGCTCACTTTATATGGCTAACCACTCAAGATTTAACAAGCATTTTGAAGCAATATGTGTCCCCTACTGGCCCTTTCAGTTTTACAATGTGTACATTTGTAAGAGGCTGCGAATACATTTCTGTGAATATATAATCCAAGTATGTATAGGTGGAATAAACTGTAATACTAAATAGACAGACAACACAATTAGTTTCACTAACTTTTGATGTGCTTCAATTTAATCTGAATGAACCCACACCAAAAGATTAAAAAAATTTTATCGTCGATTGATTCATGTAAAATTTGATATTTTTCTGAAAATGCAAACAGCACCCACAAATTTAAAATAAAAGAATCAAGAAAAACAAAATGGATGGACAACGAGAAAACCTATAGCCTAGTCGCATCAGGTTTTACTGATAGGGGAGTTATAAAACCGAGCCAGGGGCTGGGAAAGAGAGGTTATTTGCATCCAGGTGGCAAATGTCCTAGCTCATAGTCATTCACCAACCAAATTAATTAATAAGCCTAATGTTCCAGGATATTTGCCAATAACCTGGCGGCAAATAAGCATTCCACTTTTTTCAGCAATGCAAAAGATCGAGCAGTCACCATTTTATGAACATGGTCCATGGAAATAGCTTACCGGAGAAAAAATTGAGTATTCTAGGGTTAGGTTTAGGGATAGGTTTAGGTTTAAGGTTAGCAAATAATGAACACAGGTGTTAAAAGTACTTGTTGCAAACCAAGAGTGAATATTCTCTGCCAAACTGTGACATACAATTCCAGAAAAAAACAAATAGATGAGCATCAACTTTTCTAAAGTTTATAAATCACAAATCATATTATGACATTTTATGATTTTTTGTAAACGACAACCAGCACAAAACTAGATCTGGAACATATATTTCTCTAGGGTTAGGGTTTGGGTTAGGTTTACAAATTACATGTCAAACATACAAATTGAAGCTGTAAAAACGGTGGATTGTGGGTAAAACTTTTCTGAAGGGTTAGGTTTAGAATTAGGGGTATAAACATGGAAAGATATTTTCCAGATCGTTCAAAGATCCAATCTGTTTCACACAGTATTACGAAAGTCGTCTAATATCTCTGTAAAAGATGACAGCCTTCAACACATGACGTCATATCAAACAGCGGTAGCTGTCAATCATTGGCTCAATGGCGCGTGCATTGTTTTACATAAGACATTACTGATTCGAGCAGAATGGGGCCATTTACTTATTTTAATACACATTTACACTAAAACAGAAAATAATTTTTACCTACAAATACATCAAATATCAAACGTCTTATTTATTTTTCTAATACATAAAAAAAGGTTTTAGAATTTAATTTGTCGGAGGAAAAAAGTTAATATTTGTGGCTCATTAAGCCACATAGATGTCATCTTTATCAGTGAATGTCGCGGCCTAGCGAATATTCACTGCGGATCAGTGTGACAAAGATCTAGTACCAACAGTCACACTCACAAACTCACCACAGGAGGTGACAGAATCAGATTCATCATTCAGTTTCAGTACGAAAATACTAGGCCTAATACAGTTTGCCATACACGATTCTTGTTTTTACCCTCAACATTACGTAATTTACAGAATTCCACTTACTTCTACCTCAATCCCTTCATTTCTTTTCATTGATGTTAAAATGACAGTAATAGTAATACATAATATAATTTATGTTTTCTTTTTCCATTACGACCTTGACCCATGGAAAGGTAACTCTAAGTTAAAAATTACCCAGGGGCTGTAGCAAATATGGCTTACCTCCCTTGCATCATCACGTCAGAAATTGCATAGACCTTCCAGGGCCTGACTGAGGCAAATATGACTTGCCTCCCTTGCATCATAATAGCAAAATTGCCGTAGAAATGTCTATTTCTGTTATAATTTAAAGGGCCAATCCCGATAATATTTTGGAGAATAAAACTGTTTAATTTTGTTTTAAAACCCCTTACTAGGGCCGAGCAACTAATTCAATATTTGTGATATGTTTTCAAACAACTTACACCCGTCAGTCTTCATCTGGAAATGGAGACCGGTGTCCCAAGCTGTATTATGCGGTGTATCTGCATGGATAAAACCAGACTTTTATTTTATAAAAACAATGTGTAGGTGAAATTTACCTTTCGTTATCCAGTACGGCACATGGGTCATTCACTGAATAGACCTCTAAAGGAACAGCGATAGATTATCAGGTCACTCAGCGAAAAAATTGACCAGAAATCTTAAAAGGGTTACGTGTCCAGATAAGAATTTTGACGTTCACGTCCAAACAACACAATATTTTGAGCTGAAATTTTGAGACAAGGTGAATACACCATTCCTCATTATTTTGGCGCTTGAATTTCATACGAAGTCGGACTTTTATTTTTAAGACTCTGTTCAAATCGGGAAGTCCCTTTAAGGTCCTTATTGCAGAAAATATTTATAAACATATCTTTTTAAAGTACCGGTAGCTAATTTTAAGTCTCTAACTCAATAAGAGTAATAACATAAGACAATGAATATCATCCAAAGTCTTCGACATTGAAAACACTAATTATTTGTCAACTTAAATCAACACTGAAATTGTCATTGAATATTGATGTTGTGATCTTGTCGGGAAAAGATGGGCTGACAATGATATCCAATATTTAAAGTATAGCCAAGTCTCTAACTCAATATCATACAAAATCTCGGACATTGAAAACACAAATTATCTGTCAATTTAAATCACCATAGATGTTGTGATCTTACCGGGGGGGGGGGGGGGGGTATGGGGGGGGGAGATGGGCTTCTAATATCCAATATTAACTTAAGTTAAGACGCAATAAACATTTACCATTGGTTTGGTACCGTACACGATTCGTGAACCATGCCATAATTCGTTTCAGTGCCATTTTTAACAAGCGACTCGTTCTTTGAGTCTAGACATATTCCTCAAGTCATGTCAAATGGTGACGCCATATTCTTATCTGGAGAGCATGCGCAATAAATAATATCGGTGTAGAATGGAATAGCAAGACACTATATAGAGGTTGCCATTCGATTGAGTCTTCTGCCTTATTACGCCGAACATAACGGATTTGAAACTAGAGTAAAAGCAGAAACGATTGAATGTAAATCAGTTTACATACATTCATATTACTATACGCGTTACGACCCATTTGTGTCAATTTCTAGGTCCTAAATATTAGCAAGTTAGCTCCTTTAAGACAAAATAAACATTTTACCATTGGTACACGAATTGTGTAGGCCTACCATAGGCCTAATGCATTTCAGCACAATTTGTAACAAGGGACTCGAAGAAAGAGGCTAGACATATTTCACAAGTCAGTCAAACAGTGATACCATGCATATTCTTATCTGAAGAGCATGCATAATAAATACTATCTGTGTAGACTAGAGACTGCCATTCGATTGAGACTTCTGGCGTATTTCGCAGAACATAACTGATTAGAAATTACAGTAAAACCAGAAACGATTGAATGTAAATCAGTTTATATACATTCACGTTACATTATTATATGCATTGCGACCCATTTGTGTCAATTTCTAGGTCCCAAATATGACCGATTTAGCTCCTTTAAATTTTAAAGAAAAATGGCCACTAAAAAATACCGGGCTCTTTCAAAATATTTTTTCTGCCTACTATAAATCATTTAAAAAAAAAAATAATCTGTTTCTTTGTTCAAGGCCGATGCATTTAAATGAAATTATAATTACCCGGTTCTTAAGACAAATTATTCCAATTATAGCTTCACATTCAACCATAGCATAGGCATTTTTCAGGTTTACCTGCAAAATGGGACTGTCTCTAAAATGATGATTTAATTTATTTTGTTTTGTTATAATTTTATTCCTGTGGCTTTGACTGTCGCCATTTAAAGTGATGTAAATGAGATATTTATCTATTTCTTTATTGATAAATTTATTTATTCATTTACTTGTATTTAATTTTATCCCTGTTTTAGAAACCAAATGGCAAAACTAGAAAGTAGATTCAAATTTTAAAACCTAGTCTGTGGCGTTTTCTTAAAGAATTCAATTCCGTCAAATTTTCAGATAGAAATCATGGAATAACTTTATTTTGAAGGTTTGGATTTTTAATGACAAAAATCCAATGTTGACATTTTTTCTGAGTAGGTCTTCATTGTGCATGGACTAGCCATAAAAATTACAAAAAGTTACTTACAGTAAAAATGACCACAGACCTATAACCATTTAACTATCTACCTATATTTAATTTTAGCCATGCTTAGATTTATCACAAACCGAATGGCGAAAATAAAGTTTATAATTTCAACACCTCTCATGCAGAACCGTATACACTGTAATACATGACGAGACTGGAAAAAAAACAAAAGTTATAATAGGCCTACTTATAAAGACGCTGATCATCATTTGAATTACTTGGAATATATATAATTTTTTCTCGGATTAACCCACGCTAAAATATACCCATATTGATTATTCGTCATTGAATTAAGAAAACAAAATCAAAATATTAACGTTACATAATTTCCCGGCTTGGATTCAATTATAAAGAGGCCCATCAAATGCTTTTGGAGCCACAGTGGCTCATTGGGTAGGACATTGACTCATTAACTTGGAGGTCCCATGTTCGATCCGGCTTGGTTCCCTGGTCTTGTCAGTTATAGTGCAAGACTGAGGGCCTGGCAATAAGGGACAGCGTATAGTCGTTCGGATGGGACAGAAAACCGAGGTGCTATGTACACACAGGCGTACACATAAAAGATCCATTGGCAGTTGGAGTTCAATATAAGAGTAGGCTATAGTGCTGCTGTCTGGGCAAAATGTCCCTCATAGCACACCGTCCGTATGGCATATGCCTATTGTCATTAGCCAAGTCTGAGCAGAACAGTAGGACGTTAAACTCCATTTCATTTAATTTCAATTCAAATAATTTCAGTGAAAATTATAGGTGGCGTTGGCTGCATGGTTTTGACCATATATCCTATCGTCTGCAGTACGTGCATGCCAATTTTCAATTCGGTCATATCTTTGGGGTCTGATATGTTTGTAAATAGGCTACTGAACAGAATTAATTGAATCATTTTTGGATTGATACTTCTTTAAGAGATTCAATTTTAACAATAATTGTAGTTTGCAAGGGTTTCACAATCCTTCAAATGACGAACAGAGACTTTAAGATGAAAATTTCCACAGACCTATAACAAGGTCAATTGTAAAACGGTGTAGACTAACATATATATGATCCGAACTATAATCTGTGTTCATGGAACTATACTGAGCGCCATGGAAAACGCATCACTTTTTTTCCCAAATATTTTATTACTAGGTGGTTTTGTATGTATAATATTATGCAATACTATGAACTATTGTTTCACACAATGCTCCCTAACGCAAAAAATATCGGCCCTTGTGCACAAAAAAAAATTGCACGAGATGCACATGAAAAACCAAATATATTCACGTGCAGCATTGTGTGTGAGCCCTTTAAAAGCATGTTTTCAACTTAATGTGCAGTACATGAACTGTGAAATGTCAATCTGTCGTAATTTGTTGTTGGACGTGTGAAGGAATCGAGCTAGAGATGCTGAGACTTACTGAAAATCAACGGAATGAAGCCATGGGAATATCCCGGGCTGGCATGTCTACATGTGCTATTGCCAGACACTTCAATTGTCATTAGTCCACTATTGTAAGGTTGGTGGAACGTGTTCGAGTTACTGGATCAACACGTGACCGTCAACGTCCTGGTCCACAACGCGTTACAACCCAGGCTCAAAACCGCTTCATCCGGGTCACTCATCTGCGTGACAGATTCCGCCCAGCGCCTCGAACATGTGCAGCAGTCGTCGGAAGACAAGGACCAGTAAGTGCCAACACCGTAAGACGTCGTCTAAGAGAAGTAGGACTCCGTGCACGACGACCTTATGTTGGAGCTATCCTCAGGGATCATCACCGTCAGCGGCTTTTGATATGGACTCAAGGACACCAGACATGGAGAAGAGTAGACTGGCAAAGTGTGCTCTTCAGTGATGAGAGTTGCTTTCATCTTTATCACGCTGATGGCCGTCAACTTGTGTGGAGACGTCTTGGGGAACGTCTTGCCGACTGCTGCATCTTCGAAACGATTCGATGGGGTGGGGGAAGTGTAATGGTGTGGGGAGGCTTCACATTTCATCACCGGACCGCCCTACACATTTGCAGGGGTTGCGTTAATGCTGTAGCCTACCGTGATGATGTCTTGCAACCAATTGTTGATCCGATGTTTCGAGCGCACCCACAACTTCAGCACTTCCAACAGGATAATGCACGTCCGCATACCGCCTGTTTTAGTATGGACTACCTGGCTGCTAACAACATCAATGTCTTGGACTGACCAGCCATGTCTCCGGACATGGCACCGATAGAACATGTTTGGGATAAGATTGGACGCCGTCTGTATCGGAGACCACAGATGCACACCATTGCTGCTTTAGAACTAGAAGCTGCTCTTGTCCAAGAATGGAACAATTTGCCCCAGGCCTTCTTTCAAACATTGGTTAATAACAATATTCCATGCAACGTCGCTGCACAGCGTGCGTAAGAGCCCGTGGAGGACACACGCGCTACTGACATCTGTGTCGTACTTTTGGTTTTGACCCCTCTGACTATTTACCGTTGATTACAGATTAAACATCCATAAGTGTACAAATGTGTTGTTATTTATGTGTTCCCATTTGAATATTGTTCACAATAAGAAGCAAAATAAATAAGATATGTTTACAGGACCATTTTGTTATACAAAAAACTAAGTGATGCGTTTTCCATGGCGCTCAGTATATATGATATGCAAATGTAAAGTTTTCAATACCGTAGCGAGAGGTCGATTCGTCAAACACTTGCACTTAAGGATCCTGAGCTAAGATCTGTCACCATTTCAATCAAGTGTCCTGGTTTCGGATCAAGACACATAAGACATAAGATTAATTAATTTAAGAAAGAAAAAAAAACTTCGCCTCACTCCGCTCGGCAACCATACATTCAGTCATTCACACGGTTTTTGTTTTTGAGTTGGGGTTTTTTTTTGTTTTTTATTTTTTATTTTTTTTTTGGCATGTAGATTACAAGGATTAGGTCTACCAATGGTTGATATTTTAACGTCAATAATTAACGTTCCTGAATTTACCCCTTCCCCTTCTTGATTCTAGCAAAAGAAAACAAAAGTTGCGTATTATTCATCGTTGGGTCAAAGTTCACAGGCAGAACCAGCCTCGTTCCAAATTGAAAGGAAATCAAGATGGCGACTGCCGATTAATGGAGGAAGTATAGACTTTTAAATGAATTTTGGTCGACGTTTGCTCAATATTATGACCTAATACATGGAAATATATTAATCGCAACTTTCAACCCTTAGTGTGTAATGTAAAAATGTGGATTAATGGTGGCATACCTGAAAGTAAAGGCGAGAATTAGGGCGAGTCAGCCGCGCGCTCGTTCGCAGAATGGGTGCTCAGGCATCAAAAGAAGTGCGAACGAACACTAGTAAACCTAAAGGAAAGACAAAAGAAGCCCGTGTTCCATCAGTAAATATATTTACTGAACACAATGGTAAGTTTAGGTCATTAATGATCGATACCATATATCATTTTCAAACGAAAACTTCAAGATAGAAATGTGGAATTTGCTTGTAAAAAGACAACTCCCGATGATGTCAACATTGATTGTTACAATAATAACATGAAAATTTTTACAATATTGTTGCCATTTTAGTAACAAATACAATAGCCTAATTTTTACAAGAATGGAAGTCTGTAAGCCCATTTAAACAATCTTATATCTTTGTTCATTTAACTGAATGGTCATGGTGATCGATAGATCCAAGTAGAGGTCAAATTATAAATCGGGAGTCCATCATTGATGACAAGTTCATTGACATTAGCATTATTCAAGGCCTGAATCATCAGATTTATGAGATGAAAAACTGTCTCAGAATTTATAATATTTTCTTCATTTGTAGGGTGTATATATAATTATATGATTTTCTTAAAAATTTGTGTTGTGCAGTTAGTATATGATTGTGTAACTTCTTTTTGTCTTTATTCGTCCTCTTCAGTTTTGCCCGTTTATTGAGAGATCTTATCTTATGACTGCTTCTGAAAAAGTTGAGATTAAAGACTAATCTATGTTTGTTTCTTTGTAGTGACAATTGCAATAAACTGCACTGTCACCAAGAAATTTTATATATAAAATTGGATATCATCAAATTATCAAAATCAAATAACCATGAACTTCAGACAAAGAAGCTATGTATTACTGTAATATATACATACTAAAACAAAAATGTTATATTCGAAATTAGGGCCATTTACCAATTTCCGACATACACTACATGTACATATACTAACCAAACAATTGATTTTTGAAGGTAAACTAATATGAAAAAAAAACATGTTCAACATTTTCCATTTTCTGACTCATGAAGCCACAATAACATGCTTAACAACTTTCAATTATCATTCATAATTATTGCAAGTGGAGCAGCTGATGAACTAAAATATAGGTAAGCATATGTATACATGTATATGTATAGGCTTACATGTGTAAAGATGCAATGTGGAGATTTACTTTCATGTACTTTTGGCTCAAAACAAGACAAGTTTACATTACAGTTACTAGAAAACCCATAGAAAGTGGGCACTAATAATTGGAGCAAGAGAGTTATTATATCGAATGTCTCAGTTTCATTCAGTTCTATACTGGGTCTGACTTTGTATCTTACTTTATTCTTTATTTACATGTACAAAACCAGCGACCTTAACTATGACATTTTTTATTAGGCATATATTATACATGTATGTAAAATGGTACATCTACTCTACAATCTACATACATGTGCTAGATTTACTAGTACTAGTACTAATAATAATAAGTAAAAAAGAAAAGGTTTGATGTGATAAAATATACAACTCAAGAAACAAAGTCAAACTGTGATGAGGTACAAATGTACTAGTATACTTTGGAGATCTGTAACATTATATTCTTACTTTGTATTCATCCCATTGCAGATTTCAATGAATAAATCATCTTTTCTACTCAGTGGAGGGACTTCAAATTTTATTCAAATACACAGTCTAATAATATGTTCTTTGCTCTCATTTAAAATTGGGGGGTTGGATGGCCGAATGGTTAGCGTGTGCGCGCTGTATCATAAGGTCTGTCATTGATTCAACTGGCTTTGTTTCAATTCCCTGGTTGTACGTGACAAGGAGTAGGGTTGCCAGTCCAACCTCATGGGTTTCTGTGGGTCCCCCGGTTGCCTCCCACTGCTGAGGACCCCTATGCGCAAGCGAATTATTGAAATAAAATTGAACCCTATGTTAGTCCCGAAATGACCTACATGTAGTTTGTGTCCAGTGGAGGTTAAACCCGATCTCTCTCTCTTTCTCTCTCTCACTCACATTTAAAATTAATTGTTTTCAAGTACATGTCATAGAAAGTTTGTAATCTTTGACCCAACCCAGTTTAAAAGCATTTGGGGTAAAGGGATGAAAAAAGAATACATGAAGGTGACAGAAGATTACAGCATTTCTACACAAATGATGTTAAACCAGTCTGAGCTTATTCAATTGACCACTTTACACAACATGTTCATTAAAACCAGACTGGTGTTAGAACTTGATGGAATTACATGTAATTCTTTCTTCTGAATCAGATATTTACATGTCTCAATGGAAGTATACTATATTCTAAAGTTTTAATTTTGTGTTCTTAAATATATTTTTATGAAAAAATTTATGATTACTGGTATTTATTTACTGCCCTGGAGATAAATATACACACTCCCAGATTAATTTGAATTTTGAGAAGCTTAAGAAATACATTATTAGCTATTAATATTTTAAATGTACATGTACATATAGCGTACAGTTTTGTATTTCAACAAGAGTACAATGTATGAACCAGGAGCTGTAGCCATCTTGGAATCAAAATAAGTCACTTGATGCGCATTCAGATTTGCCAAGTCTTAGACTTTTTTTTTTAACGAACACCACAAGAACAAAATTACAAAGCGTAAGCTTATGCAACCAGTTTCTGGTTCAAAAATCCCCAATGAAAATAGGCAGTTAAATTGATATACAAAATATATCATACATGTAGGCCTAGATGTACATACAGGTACATATGCAGCGTACATCAATCCAAACGCCTGAGAATAGCGAAAAATTGGTTGAAATCTGTGTTTTGTCTTATTGTGAATAACTCCTCAAAAGTCATGAGTGTAATTAATTATTGATGTAGAACCACGGTGGCTAAGTGGAAAAGACGCTCGCTTGCTAACCTGGAGGTTGCGTGGTTGATCCCTGCATTTGCCGAGAAAGTTCATCGTGATTTTCTGATGTGGTTTCTCCTTGTCAATCATGGTCCAAAAAACTGAGGTCCCGTGTATACGTTGGCGTGCACATAAAAGATCCCTTGGCTGTTGGAATTCGACATAAGAGTAGGCCATAGTGCTGCTGCCTGGCCAGCCCGGGCAAATTTCCCTTATCGCACAATGTATGGCATATGCCTGTCTTCATTAGCCCAGTCGGAGCAGAACGGTAAAACGTTAAACCCCCATTTCATTTCAATTATTGATGCAATTCAATTGTCTCTTATTTTTGATTGTGTTCACTTACATTTACACGTAGTTATGACTTGCATGTGGACATGTAGTCCTCGGACAGTATTTGGAACTATGATTAATGGATTGGGTTGGGGTATTTTATCAGAATGTTCTTTCTTATGGACTAATAAAATGAACAACAGCCTGTTTATAATCAATTATTTATAAATATGGTATAAATAGCTATGACTATGAGTGCGTGTATATGTAATATGATTAGCCTAAAGCTGAATACATCCTTCTAATTAGATTTTTCTTGTCATTATGTCAATCTGTGATCAACTGTACTTTAATTAATGAATGACTGGACAGCATGAGATACATGTAGTTACCATACTGGTAGGAAGGAGGATACTATTTTAATTGGTCTTAGTTAACATCAGGTTCCATTGAATATTTGATTGGCAATAAATACAATGATTTGTTGATTACATGTACATGTATTTAATTGTTATTAATAATTAAAGGATCAATTAATTTCTGGATTTGTATTTGGTCATTTTGAATACAGTATGACAATTACATAAAAGCAGTCTACCCAAAACATAACATAACAAATCATAAACGATTTATGATGCTTTGATACATGTATCAATCCTGCCAGAGAGCTTTGAAATCTGCATTTAGACTTACACATATGAATGAATACATCCAGGTAGATGTACATGTATAATACAAAATACTGTAGTCATTGACTCATTGACAATGACATTGCTTAACCTGTTATTCATTCCAACTTTACTGGCTGTGTGCGTAAATGTATAGAGCTTTCACTTAAAAATGATTACATTCCATTCTTATGCAATCCTTTAGTGTACATGTCTTGTACATTCTATAATCAAATACATGATTATGAAGATAATGTTCCAATTCATTCCCCATTCTCGGGTCCTTCACAGTTACATTATGGGAGATTAGATAAAGAGCTGGATAACTAGATAATGTAAAGGGAATTAGCTGAAAATTTCAGTCAAATTAATCCACTCTGAACCGAGAATTTAACGATTGAATTTTCGCCCTAGCCTTGATCATCATTACTAAAGTCGGTACAATAAAAAAACATAGTCTTGATTATCTATTTCATGATTAAATCATGAATGGAACTTGGAAGTCGAACAGCAAAGCGGAACCCAATCCAAGAAACATCGCAGGCTAGCGATTACATCAAGAGTTAATTATGGTCTGGATAAGTTAATTAATGTCTAATTAATAATTTAGATAACATTTCACAATCGGGCCTAAAGAAATACCTGAAATAGGCATATTTACATGTAGCTCTTGCATAACGTATGTTTAACTGAACTACATTTTACAGTTACACTTTAATTTTTTTTTTCTTTTAATGTACATGTTTTAAACAAAACATTATTGTATATAGTTTTGTATACAATGAATAAGCTTAAATTTGGTAAATGTACTACACTGTGTTTATATTTTAGACCAAACAATATGGCTGTACACTATTGGGCTTTTTTTTCTGGTATAATAGGCTCAGCTGTCACAGTTGCTTTTCATTTGCATTTTTATTTTTTCCCTTTCACAATGCGATTGTCATGCTACTATGGCCTTTATAGATTTTTCTTCCTTATTCCTGACTTTGGAAAGTGATTGATGTGGAAAGAAAAGAAATGGAGGAAATTGAGAATCAGTCATTCTAAAATCTTTGCATCCATTTGCTGAAATTGTATTTCAATCGATCACATGTACATATAGGCCTACATAAATGTATATGACATTTCTATTTTAAACCATCAGAATAAAGTCAATATTTATTAGTTCCCTTTTAGTACATCTACATATGCCATTAACTGATTTATTTTAGAATTTGATATTGGCCTATACATGTATATACAAATGTAGCTTACATTTTCTGTGCCAGGACTGAAATTGAAATGTCTTATTTTATAGACCTATACCTGTAGTACATGTAATTTAATTATGTGTA